AAGAAAAAAAAAAATTCAAGTTTCAGCGATTGGAAACAACTGAGGATGGAGCGCAGAGGACGCGAAAACGAACTGAAACCGCAGGGTTCCGACTGCATCGGGTGCAGACTCGCACCAGGCGACAAACGTTTCTTGTGTCCTTGTCCTCTGGTCGTCCTGTTCGTGGTTGGGGTCGAATCCGGCTGCAGCCAGCCTGGCAGAACCGGATCGCAGTCCTTATAGGAAAGGGCCGAGGCCTTTCTGAACGCCATACTTCCTCGGCTTTCTAACCTTAGCGGATTCAGTGCCCACCGAAGTCGGTCAGGTCTCCCAAGACATCCGAACCGGCCGCCTGGGGGAGGACAAATGCGGTGTTCGCACCGCGGAATCTTCGTCGCGCCTGCGTCCCTTTTGTGGAGCTGACAGTTTTCGGGAACCGCACGGTCCAGGGCTCGAGTACTGCGCTCGCAGACCCAGTATCGCCGACCTTTTCGGTTAGCGAGGTGGCTGTGGCCCAGGAGCCCTGGTAAGGCGGGAAAGACTCCGGACCTGGCCGGCTTGAGGATTCTCACTGGAGTTCTCCGAGATTGTGAGCGGCCCCGCGAACCTGCTCCAGTTGTCGGTTCGTCCGCGGGCCCCGAGTCCACGGGGGTGGGTGAGCAGAGCCGGAGGCGGGGCCAAGGGAGAAATTCAAACCTGAAGCCAAAACTCGTGGGACACTGACCTGCACCTCCGTCTCCCAGTGGCCGAACGGACACTTCTCCAGTCCAGGGGTCGCTGTGGCGCTGGAATTCGGCCCGGCCGCGATTCAAGGCGCACAGAGCCAGAGCCTGCGGTTTTGTCGTTCGTTCATGCGCGCATGCCCGGGATTCGCCCTTCCAGCCGATTTCGACGGGCGGTTAGAAGGCCCAGACCGCGATTTCAAACCGGGCCCGCGGTTTTCTGCCTCGTTCTTTCCTATAGCGGCCACAATTTGGCTCTGCCAGGCCGACTGCGGCAGGATTTCACCATAACCTCGTACCACGAAACACGAACCGTCGGACGTGAGTAAATCGCCGCGAGAAAAGCCTGACACCGAGTTGCACCAGGTGCGGTCAGGACACCGTGTCTGCGGTTCGTGTTCGGTTCGTCTACGTGCAGCTCTTCGTCGTTTCTAAGCGCTGGAAATTCGTCCGTTGTCTGTTAGCGGATTTCGTACGGATGCCGTCGAAATGCACGTTTCCCACCGAGCAAGGGTCCCCTGAAGTTCGTTCCCGGCCTGAAAGAGGGCAAAGGCAGGGTTTCCAGGACCGAAATCCGTCGCGGCTGCGTTCCTTTTATTGTGCCCACCGTACTCGGACAGCACGGTCCTGGGCTCGAGAGCGTCGCTGTCTCCGGGGGTCTTTCGCCATTATTTCTCCCGTCGCGGCGCTGATACCACATCCCTGGGGAGCGCCTGTACCGCGGTCAAGGCTCAGAGCCGGCCAGCCTGAGGGCTTCTCACTCGCGCCCTCCAGGGTTGGCTCCGGCCTTGAGAACTTGCGCCGGTCCGCGGTTGGTCGGCCGCACCGCGGGTCCACGGTGGTGGTGGGCAGAGCGGGCGCCTCGGGCAATGAAGAGGTCCAAGTCAGAAGTCAAAACGCTTCCAAAGCCAATCCGCAGCCCCGTCTCCGAGCTGCAGTCAGGACAATTCTTCGCCGCAGGGGTCGCTGTGGCGCCAGAAAACGGCTCAGTGGCGATTCCCGGTGCTACAGCTTCATTTGGCGGTTTTGCCTGGTGGCGATGCGCTAGTGTCCGCGATTCGTCCAGAGAGCGGACTTCCTTCCTACTGACGACGGTCAGCAGGCCGGGCTGCAGTCCGATCTCAAACCGCGTCCGTGGTTTTCAGCCTCGATCCTCTGGTGTTGCACACGGAATCCGGCTCGGCCAGGCAGGACTTGGCGACATTCCACCTGAACCACGAACACCATGGCGCGAGAGAAACGCTGAAAGAAGCGTCTGGCGCCCCAGTGCGAGTGTGCACCGGACGCGGTCAGAACGCTGAGGTTTCGGTTCGTTTTCGTGTCTTCTAAGCTCTACTCGCCCTTGTTTCTAAACGATGAAACGTCGAATTTTTTACGTTAGCAGATTCAGTGCCGACTGCCAATGGCCAAGGCACGTTTTCTCCGGACAAGTGTCCCAAGACATCCGTGCCCGACCGACTGGATGACCGAAAGTTCGGGGTTTTCACGACGGTATCACCCCCTCCGCTGCCTTCCTGTCGCTCATCTGACCGGGTCTCAAGTGCTGCACGATCTCCTGTGGCCTTTGCCCTCTGGCCTTCTTTTCCCGGTTCGCAGGGGAGCTATGGCTTTTGTACCCCTGGCAAGACACCGGACCTCCAAGGCTTCTCACTCTCACACTCCGGGGTTGTTACCCTTCTTGAGAGTTTGCACCAGTGGGTGGTTATGCTGCTGCCGCTCAGGGGCATTTCACTCCCAGTTGCGGTTAGGACGCCTTGGTTTTAATTCGTTTTCAGGTCCTCTTCGTTCTGCTTGCCGTCGTTTATAAGCGCTGGAAGTTCGCCCGATTTCTGTCATTACGGATTTCGTACCGATAAGGTCTAATGCACGTTTTCCCGAAGGGAACGTGTCCCAAGACATCTGAACGCGGCTTTCTGAAAGAGGACGAATTCCGTGTATGGACGACCGAATAGCTACTGTGTTCCTTCCGTTTCGTCAACGTTTTTCGGGGACAGCATGTTCCAGGGCTCGAGTGAGGCAGTGTCTCTGATGGCCTTCTCAGTCTCGCAGTTTTTCTCCGTTCTTGGTGCACATACCGACCAGGCGAGCTCGAGTACCACGGGCAAAACCACGGGCACCGCAGACCTGCCTGACGAATTCTCACTCACACAAAATGAGTTGTGACCGGGCTCGAGATCTGTGCCAGTCCGTGGTTAGTCCTCGGCCTCTCAGGTCCACGGTGGTGGTTGGGCCCAGCCAATAAAGAATTGCGACCCAGAAACAGAAATGCTTTGGATGCCAGCCTGCAGCTCCACCTTCGAGCACCAGGCCGCTTACACAGGACACTTGTGTAAACCATAGGGCGATTGCGATTCCAGTGCTTTGGGGATTCTGGGCCCGCTTTTAGCGAGGGAGTCTCCGTGATTCGACCTCCGAGGCGAAGTCGGAGGACTGATTTCGGGCAATGGACGTTTTCAGGCGGACTTGTGCGGGAATCCTTCGGTCCCGCCCCCCTGGAAGACTACAAATACCCAGGACCTGAGCTTGCAGAAGAATCTGCAGCCTGCACTGTGCCCAGGCTTCTGACCTCCTGCTGCAGGTGCTGCAAGAGCGATGGAGCCGACTTTCTGGTCCGTGCACGTGAAGCAGGCCTGGGATTCCGCACCGATGGCGCCAGAGACCGAACCTCCTCTGCTTCCTGTCTTCTCAGAAGAACTTGGGCCTTGGCCTCTTCCTTTCTATCCGGTCCTAGGAGGGATCCGCTCCGACAGAGGTGACGATCTCGAGCAACCGCTTCCATGTCTCCAGGGTGACTTGTCGGGATCCGACGGGAGGACCGAGTCTTCCAGCGAGCCGGACTCCCCGCGGGCCTTCCACGAGGGACGGGGGCGACCTGCGACCCCGGCAAGCGTGGAGGACTCCGACGTAGAACCGTTCCCAGAGGCAGAGCAGCCCCGGCCCTGGTCTAGAGCGCCCCACCCTGGCCAGGAATCGCGGGACACCGAGACCACGGAAAGGAGAAGCCCTGAGGAGTGTGAGCCGCCCACCGGTGGAGACCTGAGGGGCGGATCGCGGGTTTGGTCCGCTGTCCGGCGGCGCCTTCGTAGCGTGTTCCGCTGCTGCGTGCCACGTGGCTGCTGCAAACCGGAACGTGGCAGCAGGGAGCCTTAGGGATCTGCAGGCGCCTTTCAGCGTTTTACAGTGCGCTCTGTGCCAAGAGAATGCCTGCCAAAACCTCTTCCTTCCTCGCTGCCCGAAGTCTTCTGGGCAGCCGGCTGCTTCCAAAATAAATTCCTACATCCACGTGCCTCAGATGGTCAGTGTCAATTCTTGCTTGCTTTATAAATGATTCCAAAGGTAATTAATTTAATGGGCTGTGCGCGCCAGTTTTCAAAGCTACTTGGTGACTCTCAGGATGCCCTGTTTCTAGGCTTGGTGGAGAAGCTGGTGTGGGGACCACCGAGGTCAGTCCACCAGCCTTCACGAGGACAGGGTGGGTGGGGTGCCCTCGATTCGTCCAGGCAGTCGACTTCGGATGGATCGACTGTCAGCAGGCCGGGCTGCAATCCGACAG